TTTTTTTTTTTTTTTTTTTGTTGATTTTTGTTTAATAATGCATTAGACCACCTCCTCTTTGAGGTAAGTACAGTGTTTTAAGAGTGCTGTTTTAACATAGCTAATATAGGTCATAATAAAAAATTGTTATATTTTGCAGTGTATGGGTCATACATGGTATTTATCAACCGATATGTTTCACCACATATTTGCTCCGCTGTTGTTAGTACCATTATGCTTATCAAAAGTAGCGGGTGTTGTTTCAGCCGCATTACTTATTGCAATGAGTATCGGTGCTACTTATGGAACCTATTACAAGTACGATCTAGCAGCAACACTGATACAAGCAATGACTGGGTAAGTTTAATTCATGGCTATTTGGAAGTTTGAATAAAAATTTCTAACAATAAGTCTAATTTTTTTAGCGGTGGAGGTCAAGACATGGAGAAATTTTATTTATTTTTCCGTTACATTTACGGAGTACCATGGGTACGATGCACACCAATGATTATTGGCATATTAACTGGATATCTGCTACAAAAACTGCAAAAGCGAAAAATTCGCATACACTGGGTAAAAAACCAGTTACAATGCAAAAAAACCAATTTCTCAGCTTTTTTAACTCCCATAGGAAATATACCGTTAAACTTTCTAAAGAAAAATATTTAGAATATTTTTAAAACAATTTTTCTTTTACGAAAAAGTCTGGTAATATTTTCTAAACAAGCAGTATTAGATGCTCTTTTCTACCACTATGTGTAGTCTGATAAACAAATTTTGAATAATTTTAACTCAATGTTGAGTGATTTTTTTTAGAAACTTCTCTCAGGAAGTTTAGGTGTAAAAAATGTTGGTTTACTGTCACCTTTGAAGCAAATCCACTCATTTTTCAAATTATCTTTATAAGTTTAAATATATCGTTTATAAAATAACTCTTCGTTAAATTTTTGTTACCTATTTTATGGTCTCTGCTATAAATTTTTCAGCTTACTAATTCTCTGTAGACAAGTTAAAGAAAATTGTTTGCTTAAGTGGTTGAGCTTTAAAAACTTCGCTTCGCTGTTTATAGATCAAAAGAGTCTTTTTTTAAAACTTTATCAAAGTAATAATTTACAGCTAAAATGGTTTGAACGTTTCAGTTTATCGCTATATCTTTATGGTTGTTCTCCTTAGTTTTGGCAGCTGTTTGTGTCTACGCTTTGTATGATGCACTTCGTGGCAAAACGCACTTGAGCACTGCAGAAGCGGCTAGTTATTACGTATTTCATCGCATCGGTTGGGCATTGTCATTGGCATGGGTCGTCTTCGCGTGTCAGTTCAACCTAGCTGGTATTACTTTCCAAAAATCTGTAATTTCATACATATTCAGTTGAAAAACTTTAATCTTTGCTACTGTTTAAGCTTCCACCTACAGACATATGAGTTTACAGACAGATTTCGCCGTGTACGGACACGTTTAGGTTTCTGTAGTATTAACAAAACTATGACTTTCTTTTAGGGCATAACGAAAAATAGGTTTTAGAAAAACTGCTTGTCAAATGCAACGAAAAAATACATTTCGTTTCTCTGTATAGCCACGTAGTCCACTAACT